AATAAAAACATAGAAATGAACAGCTGAACATTTTGGCTTCATGAAATTAGATAAAATTATTTAAATTGATATCACATTTTTTTTTCCAGTTCAAGTAGTGAAAAACAATTATGAATTCACTCAATTTTAAGGGAAATATTATGGAATTATTTCGTTATTTGCATTCCTAAAACAATTACCAGCACCGGTGTAAATAGGAAAATTAGTCTGCAATTAAAAAAAATGTGTGGACAAAAACCAACACTTTGACTTGGGTAAGTGAAAGAAAAATGGCTCTAACAAGAGTGCTGTCAATTTGAAACCATGGAAAATGTTATAAAACTAATGCCTTCATCTTTGTCAGCCGCTCACTTTTCAGTCTCAATATACAGTAGCATCCAAAACTAAGGGACAAAATTTTAAAACCTAATATTTGTTAGAAATAACAACTGTGAAAAGCTGAAATTTTGACAACTGGTAGTCGTTAACATCCATAATAACATACTAAAATTTGAATCATTTGCAAAGGATAGAAAAAGAATTATAACAATTATTTATTTATTTTCAAAATAGGATCGTCCAAAAGTAAGGGACAAAATTGAGAAAAACAATGTAAACAGTATGCTATATTCAAATTTTTTGATTTTTTCTAAAGAATAAGTCTTACTTAGTCATTTGTAAACGTTGCATTTTGTCCCTTAGTTTTGGACGCTACTGTAGTTCAAGAGTGTCCCTGAATCCTTGATGGTGAGAAATTATGTTCCATCCTCCAACCTCACTCTCTCACAGGTGGGATATGGTAAGCCTCTTACTGTTCTATTGCTACTTCCATACTTGGATGAACTACATTCCTTGCTTCTGCCAGTTCTAACCTTCAAATCTAGGACATACCATGCCACCTACATTGTAGCAAACCACCCAGATTTCCTCTGTATTCTATCAGTGAGAAGTAGGTTTCACTTGAAGAGCTTTTTCCAGTGAACCACTACACTGTGGAACCAACTCCCAAGTGGATGTTTTCCTTGATCACTACAATCTTAACCTGTTCAAGTCTAGGGTTAACCATTATCTTCCTCTACAATTCATATGAACTGCCTCTTAATGTAACCCTCAGCCTTGTACATTGTGAACCTCACTTTCTCTTCTTACTATCCCTCCCAGTCCCTGATCAGGCTTGTTAGATGTTTGTCTCTACCTGTGAGTATTAAATTCTTCATGCTCTTTTTTCTCCTTATGTATCATGTCTCTTCAGGATGTTATCAGTCATGGCTCTCCGCAACTTTTTATCCTTTATTACTCTAGTTCAAAAGCATCACCGAGTCCTTGTGGGTGAGGAATTATTTTCCATCTTCTGGCCTCACTCTCTCACAGACAGAATGTGGAAATTCTCTCACTGATCTGTCGCTAGTTCCATGGTAAATGCTTGGATGAACTACATTCGTTGGTTCTGATTGTTCTAACATCACATCTAGGATGAGCCATGCCACTTATATTTTAGTAAACCAACCAAATTTCCTCTATATTCCATTGGTGAGTAGTAAGTTTTACTTGAATAGCTTTTTCTGGTAAATCATTGCTCTGTAGAACCAACTCCCAAGGGGATGTTTCCCTGATTACTACAATATTAACCTGTTCAAGTCTAGGATTAACTGTTGCCTTCCCCTACAATACATATAAACTGCCTCTTAACATAACCTTTTGCTACAAGTAGCCTTATATCAGATGGAACCTCTCTGTAAAAAAAACAAAAAAAACAATGTTTCGGTAGTTGTTCCCCACAACCTTCTTCAGGATATTTCATCAAGTAAGTTTCGTCTTTCCAGTATATTTCCCACTTCCTCTTTTGCCATTCATTTGCACAATCTTGTTAGGCAGGTTACTCACTGTTTTCCTCTGGCCTTCAATATATCCTGGGAGTGTTGAATTCTCCAAACCATCTGGTAATTATACTATTACTTAATATTTTTTACCAATGATGGACAGAGGAACTGACAAAGAGAAGCAGCAAACTATCTACCTAATGAGCTTATATAAATGGTTGGTAGAACAGGGATTAGGAGAGATAACAAAAAACAAAACTTAAAAGGAACTAGAAATTGTGGAGGGCCATGATTGCTCACAACCCGATGGGATATGGCATACAGATGAAGAGGAAAAAAAAGACTAGATTTGCGGCTAAGTTTTATAATTTCAGTGTTGAATTTTCCAGTTGTAACCATAGATATTCTTTTCTTACACCAAATGTCTAGAGCTCATTTCTGACTTTTTGCTTCCCTGGCAACTATGATCTTCAAAACTTTAAATACAATGTCAACCATCATCTATCTCATTAAACCCTCATTTTATTGTTCTCTCTCCCCAGTAAAGTTTTTCTCAGATTCTTTCACTCTCAGTAACCTCTTCTATCTTAGTGGCTTTATTGCCTTGCTTGGGGTTAAAAATGAAAATATATGTTTTATATCTTATTTGTGATTTGTCTATTTCTTCAGAAATATAAAATTCTTCAAATTTGGTCATTCTA